AAAAAAAAAAAAGAAGAAAAAAACAGAAACGAGAAAGAAAAGAAGACAATGGTGGACTGTACTTATTTATTTATTTTTCCGAAGTGATTTTTTTTTTTAGTAATTATTATTGATAAAAATTGAAACCAAAAAAAAAAAAAAAAGAAACGAAAAGAAAACAGAAACGAAAAAAACATAAATGGAAAAACAAAAAGACAAATGACAGATTTTTTTATTGAAGTGATTTTTTTCAAATTTTTGGTAATTATTATTTTTTGATAAAAATTAAAAATTCCTCAAAATTAACATATGTGGTCACTATACTACATGGAAGTTGTTGGATGCCTAACACTTTTTCCATGCTTAACCGATCCTTTGATCCTAATCAATTTCTACACAAGCTTTAGTGATCTATCCCACCTCATTTGAATAGATTGTGACTTTATCTATTTTGGTACGTCAACCCATAAAATCCATTAAAAATTGTAAATACAGTGTTGAACTTATAGACTAATTAAACACAATGAGACACATCATATAAATTTACTAAAACTAATCTATCATATGAATTGTTTTCAATAAAAGATTTATTCAATGCATCATATTAACTTTTTCACAACTATATTAGTAAAAACAACAATTCTAAGAAGTCATCATAATTGGTTTATGTTTGAAAATTCTAATTCCCTTTTGTGAAGTGTAAAGTACTTTGTTGCCTGGGAAGAAAGTTGTTCATGTAAAGAGTTAGATTATTTTATTCTTTTTTTACCTTTTTATTTAGGCTTTCCAAAATCCTTGTATGACAAAAGATATAAAATTACTCAATATGACATTACAAATTTACATGCTTCTAACCATTATAATAATATCAATATTAATATAAAAAATTGCTATTAAAAATTATGCTTTAAGTTTATGGTACGATGTAACAGCAGACAATAAGTGGTGGGATCTTGAGATGGATTGTAAGGTTAAGTACCCTCAGTACTTAAACTAATAATATGATTGCTATTTTCAAAAAAAAAAAAGAAAAGAAAAGAAAATAAACAATTCTACCTTGACATTATGAAAACAACAAACAAAAAGGTCTTCTGTAACAAGTTATCTTTCAAAGTTGTGTTAGTCTTCTCAATCGACAATGAAGAATAGAGTAGGAGTTTAGATTCTATATATATATATATATTATTTTAAAATTAGTGGGAGAATGTTACTATTTTAATTGTCAAGAAACTATTTTAGAGGGATTATTTTCTGCTCCTTCAATTTTTTTTTACAACTTGTTTGTTAATTTATTTTATCTTAATTTTAATTAATTTTTCCTGAACCCTATTGACAATATTTGGAAACCCCGATACAAGTTCAATGCTGACAGCACATATTTCAGTGTTGATACTATGCGTTAAGAATTCAACAATTGTTGCAAGTGAAATTTGATACATAAATATCAACATCTATATTTTGGTACTGACACTTATGCTTCATTCACCAAATCAACTCCAAATCAACAGCCCCTTGTCAATTTTTTTGACATGTCAACAATTTAGTGCGTCCCATGGATGGAATTTGTTCATCAATTTAGTGTCGATATTCAATTAATTCATAAATAGTAAAATTTGAAAGGTTGTATCCTTGATTAAAAAACTATTGAAAAGTGATAATTTTGATAAGTTTAAAAAAGGAGGTAATACACTTAATTAAAATTTTTTAAAAGTAATGTCCTCATATGTGTGAAATCTCATTCAAAAATATTGATTTTTTTAATTTAAATGTTATGGATAAATAATAATTGGTAGAATAACTAATATTTATTATTTAATAAATTGATACCAGTTTATAAACTAATATTTTTAAACTTCATAATCAATTATTTAAAAAATTTTGTAAATTTCAGTGACATTAAATATAGTTTGTGTGGTTTTAACAAAATATTGGGGGACTATAACCATACCCTATGAGATGGAATGACTTTAAAATCACATATAATGAGGACCCGTTGAGTATAGATTTGAATTATAGTTTTTACTTTTTAATTTTTTTATATTTAGAAACTATTATTATATTTAAAAATCGAAATGATTTATAAAAATTAAAATTATTAAATTTAATCAAAATATAGTATTAGTTACAAATTTTATAAAAAATGAAAACCAAAAATAAAAACTTAAAACCATACTAAAATGGAGCCAAAGTTCTCAACAGGATTTCAATTGAGTTTGTAGTACATTAATAATATTTTAATTTTATATTAAGGTTAGCATTAAACGTCTCTTTCTTTTTCCTTGAAATTAGAAGTGTCGATAATCATTTAAAATTCAAAAAATAAATTTGAAAATTATTAAGCTGTAAAGATCGAGAAAATTGAAATCACCACTTGTTCAAATTATAAGATAGTACAAATTACCTAAATAGTCTTTGGAGGGATCAAAATTTGAGGTTATGATTAACCGTGAGAATGTACAAGGACCCCAAAATCCTCCATGTATAATAAATTATAGACTTCAAAATTGGAAATTTACTTCAACTTATTAAAACAAAATTTGGATTAAAAGGATTTAATTGAATTTTAAATAAGATGGATGAAACTGAGAAATTGTGAAAGCTTTGGATTCAATTGAATTTTATCAAATAGTTTTCGTGAAACAGAAGAAAATCCGAAGTTTTGGACCAAATTGTAATTATTGGAAAACTTGGAGGATTGATTTGAAAGAAATTGAGACCTTAAGGCTAAATTGACAAAATTGGAAATATTTTTGGTGAAATTGAAATTTTGACAAAAGCAAATATCTTATTTGAAAAGATTGAAAAGCCTTTTCGTAAAATTTGAAGTTAAACGACTAAGGGACAAATTGCAAAATTTGAAAAGATTTGGTTGACTTTTGTGAAGACTTTGACCTCCTCAAAGGTTTGACCAAGGGTCAAAGTAAATCAAATTAATTTGATTAGATTTATTTTTAAAGTTTAAAATGGAAATTAAGTGAAAAATGGAAGTTTAAAATTAAGCGAAGATTAAAAAAAAATTTATGTTATAAATCAATTCATTGTGGATGTTTCACCTTCTTCATTCTCTCACCTTCGCACTTTCAATGATATTTACACACCAAGTAATGGTGTAACTTCTACTACCTCCATTCAATTATAATGGTGATTAGCACCCCCATAATGCCATGCATTTAGATGGTGATAATGGCATTCCTTATAACCCCTCCATGAGTAGGAAATTAATCTTTGTAACCTCCCATTTGGTGGCTGTTTATCCCTTATAACTTAACTCCCATCTCCTCTTGTAATTGTAAGGAAAAGTATGAAGAACAAATGGAGAAGAGAAGAATGAAAACATAATATATCTTTGCATTGCCTCATTTTGTCTCTCTAATTTTTTCTTCTAATCAATTCTTTCTTTATTTTACAACTCGTTATCAACACGACTTGCCTTTATATGAATTACTATTCATGAATCCTATTTGAGGTGATGAATCAATTGATGTAACGATGTGATTTGAGGTAAAGTTTTGAGGTAAGATTTTGAGACAATCTAGTCTTTCAATTTCTTGTTTTTTAATTTGAATATTCTATGGCGCTATAATGATTTTCTTGTTTATAGGTTATTTTACACTTGTCAAAAGACTCAAGTTCATTGCCCTTGATAAGTTGGGCTCCAATTATTTGTTCTAAACTATTGATGTGAAAGTTCTTTTACCTCCAATGAACCTTAAAGATTCAATTGTGGAAGGAAATAACGTATCACTTGAAGAAAGAAAATATTTTTAAAGAAAAGGGCATCCTTGAAGGATTGCAATGAAATAGTATTTCTTCATTATGAAGTCCAAAAAGGACTAAGAGATGAATATTTGATGATGAATGATTGATTAGAATCATGGAATTGTTTGGATGAAAGATGATCATAAAAAAAGAAAAAAAGAAAAAAGAAAATTACAACTGTTCCAAGAAGCTAGTTATGAATGGATCCATCTATTACTCGAGTATGAATCCACAAATATTTTTAATCATCTCATGTGGAGAAAAATTGTTATCGATGAAAACCTATAAGTGAAGATACATTCTTCTTTCCATGCCTCAAATATACTCCAAAAGTAGCAATGTTGAGAGGCTAATTTTAACATGTATATTCAAAGTAAATACATATCTTCTTGTTGCCAACAAAATTATTAATTGATGAAAAATCATCGATCACAACCATTGGTTTAATTCCATTCCATGAACAGAATGTGATATCATATTATATGAAGTTATTGTTATGATTGGTTGTGAAATGAGACTCTGCAAAAGTGAAAAGATTTGCAAAATAAGTTGATAAAGAATTTGAGAATTCTTAGATGTGACATGAATTAATATCGGTCACATATCTTTTGTATATCCAAGCAATTTATGTGCTTATCATACATCTCCAAGTATTTGTTTAATTTGTTTCAAGCTTTACCCTGTGAGAAGGGAAAATGTACAAAAACATATTTTGTGGCAAACAATATGGATATGCACTTGTGATATTTGTGATACACAATTTTATTTTAAACTTGGATATATTATATCCATTTTGAAAATACTAGGGAAAAGTATCTCAAATATTTGAGAAATTAAATATATGTCCCAATGTGAGGATTATGAATTAAAAGGAGAATTCTTTGAAATTAAGCCTCTTCAATAAGAATTCATTTCTAATAAGAAGATGAGATGCAAGAATGCATCTATGAATGGATATGAGTTTTATAGGGTATT